TGCTGATGGCAAGTTGACAACCATGATTAATGTAAAAAAAAAAAAAAACATTTATATCCAACATATTGTTTTAACATAATTTTTGTTAAAACAAATTTACACAGACATGTTGTTCAGATGTGAAGATATAAACTAAAAACATCTAAAATATATAATTCATTTAATTTTTATTTAAAATTAATTGAATTATAAGGATACATTGATAAAATAAATATAGAAAGACTGAAAACAAGCGTGTGAACGTAGAGCTGCAGTAGATCGCGTTTGAAAAACAATTCAAACTTAGACAAATGCTATAAATAGAGAACGGAATGGAAGTACGCAGCAAGTTAACAGGCTTGATTAAAAAGACAGGAAAAATGATGCATTAGTGCACAAGCATTCGCTGAAAACCACTGAGTACAGTGACTAAAACAATCTTTTACTGCTGCTGTTATTAACTGCCTTTATATTTAGTGCTTTGCTTTGTAAAGACCGTTTTAATTTAACCTATTTCTGCGGTAGCGCTATTTTAATCCATCGCTTGCTTGCGAACTGATTGCGCAACCTGATGCTCGAGACAAAATACAGACATCCCAAGTCTCCCGGAAGTTCTGGGAGTCACCCGCATATTGATAGCGGCTTATGCGGCTCCCTGATGCCCGCAAATTAGTTCAAACTCCCGGGATTTGAGCGCGCATGCGAGACAGAAGAGACTGTGCTCCAAACCGTGTAGCGCGCGCGTGCGGCAGAGCAGCGGAGGGAGAGAGGCCTTGCGTGTGTGCGTGTGTGCCTCATGAAGCGCGTGTAAGACAGAGAGCATCCTGATTGGCCTGTTTCAACCAATCACCAGTAAACCCTCCCCGTGACGTAAGCAGACCAACTAATCGATAATGACATTCGTTGACAACGATTTTCATAATCGATTATTATCGATTTTATCGATTAGTTGTTGCAGCCCAAAGTGGATGCCATTTCTATGGCTTATACTTCAGTGGGTCAGGTTTGCCCTATAGGTGTCAGGGCCCATTCGACTAGAGGCATGGCCTCGTCATGGGCGTGGTCATCTGGGTTTCCCATTCAAGATATTTGTGATGCGGCCGGCTGGTCCTCGCCTTCCACATTTATGAAGTTCTATAATATGGAGGTGCCTTCCCTGCAGGCGAAGGTTCTTTCAGTATGATTAAGACTCGATGCTGTCTGGTCTTGTCTACAAAAAATTACTGTGCATAATCACATACATACATATATAAAACCCGCTTAGGCCGGTTATGAATTGTACTAATAATCCCGACAGTGTCGGGGTTTGTTAGCATATTCTGTTGGTTGTTACTGACTCTTATATATTATTCAGGCCTGACAGTGTCTGGTCTGTTATATATATATTTATTTATTGGGTTCTGGCTTGTTCTGTTAGCTCAGGGGGCCTGAGTTGCAGTGCAACCAGTTACTAAGGGTGCGGCGTTTTACAGGGCGTCCCCACTGCGTATAGCTACGCAATGCTAAGTGACCGTTCGAAAGGGAACTACTCGGTTACTATCGTAACCTCAGTTCCCTGAGAGAGGGAACGAGTATTGCGTAGCCGGCCGCATTTAGTAACTGGTGAAGTTGTCGCTTCAGTCGTTTAAACCTGCTATAATGGCGAATTCGGGGGTCTTTTATAGGCTAAGCCACACCCCCTTGACGGGCTCTGACGTTGAGCTAGCTCATTGGCTGCAGGTCAGAGTCGCCCGCGCCATTGGTTGTGCAGTTGCGGCAGCACAGCCTATGAGCGTGCCAGACGCTCAGTGTGCTGGCTGTGCAGCTGCAAATGCGTTTTACATATAGGTTTCAGTAAATCGAGGAAAAGGAGTTTCCCCACTGCGTATAGCTACGCAATACTCGTTCCCTCTCTCAGGGAACTGAGGTTACGATAGTAACCGAGTAGTTACCAGACTAAAGACGGTTATCGCCGTTGTTTCCTTTTCAACGAGGGAGACCTTGAGGACCAGATAGCGCCCCAAATACCCGCGTTATTTGGGGTTCCTCTGGCGGCGTGGGAGGTGCGTTTCGTCGGCTGACGAGGTGAGAGCGAGGACGAGGAGCAGCGCGAGGCCTGCTACAGGATTCCTGGAAGTGCTGTGTGGTTGCACGTGAAATTGAGGTATCGTGGTTTGATTTGTTTTGTGCTCAGGAGAGTGAAGGGGCCATTTGTCAGTTTCCCGGCCACCACGAACACGAGCCACGATTCAGGCCTGCAACGGGGTGGTTTGAGTGTATGACTGGTGTGTGTGTGTGGGCCCACCGCATTAAATATTGGTTCATCTAGTATTATTCAGTGCACTGAAAATGTGATTGTTTATATTCAGAGTATATTTGGTATAATTTGTGAGTTATTGTATGCATTTATCCCATTGAGGTCATTGGTTTAATATATACTGATTCTATTTGACCGGTATACTAATTTCAGTAGGTCTGGCATCTGAGATATTGTCCTTCGGGGATTCAATTGTGTCTCATTTAGTGTGTATGTGATTGTGGGAACACTTCACATTCTGAAACTCATTGTTTGAGCCAGTTAACATTTGATAATTCTATTCTAATTAAATCCTTTATTTGTTTTGTACTTTTACCAGTGTGTTATTCTTTCAGAAGTGTTTGTTGACTTCATCAGTTAAGGCGCATAGAGATTTAATTCTGAGTAACTCGTAAAAGTAAAGTATAGATTATTATTCTAATTTTCTAAAAGAGAATTAATTCATTTAGTGACACCAGAGGGGCCTAACTTCAACATCTGTAGGCATTTAGTTAATGAATCTGGAGCACTGTCCTACTTAATTACAAGAAAGACAGGTAGGGGGCGCTACATATATATCATTTATTTTTTTCTGGTGATCAAAAATCTATCTAAAAAGAAAAAAATAATTAAATGTTACAAATTAGTCCATTATTAAATGCCGATAAATATAAAAATGAGTCTATTAAATAATATCTATTAATTTAAACAAAACAGAAGTTAATTAATGAAGATCTCTTCAAAAACATTTCAACAGTCACTACTGGAATAGCCAAACAGTAAATAAAGATCTACAATCTTTATTTGAAGCTAAACTTTTATTTAAAGGGTATTTACTCATTTTGATAATAATTTTGAAGGTTTAATAGACAGGGTTGTCACTGTCATTTAGGAATAATATTGTGTTTGAATCAAGATCGCCATTATTTAATGATAAATCGTGCACACGGAGCTGTAGCCAATGTGTTTTCGAATTTAATATTTGTATGTTAACGTTACCAATAGTTGGCTAACCCGCGCCCAAGGCCTGGCCGCCCCCCTTTCCCGCGATCCATAGAGAATATTGGGAATTTGTAAATACGTAAAGTACTTTTTTTTTTTATCCGAAAACTCATAGCCTGCATATAATACTACATTTAGGCCTACTTAAAAAATACTCAAGTATAAGCTACGTGACAACTCGTTAATAAAGTAGGCCTACGAATTTATCCGAGGGGGAGAGTGCCGTCCGAATTGTCCTCTTAATGTATACGTGCCAATGTCATGGTCATATATATTTCGAAAAACACAATAAATACTCTGACTACTATAAACACTTGACACTTGATACATTCGATGGAAGCACACTCGCTTAATAATTCAAATATATACTCGCGTGCAAAGTCACTCATTTCATACATTAACATGTAATGTTAGACTACAAACGTTTTCACACGTGTTCGTAAGTAACACGTTTCTAATTGTTGATGCAAAATTCGTAGCAATTCTGAAATTCAGTTTAAAAGTTAATTTCTTGACCAAAAATGCAATAAACGATCGAGTGTACCTTAAGTAAAAAAAAAGTTAAGCTTACCTCTTTTCAGCGTCTTCACATGTGCTTTACAAAATGGCTCCAATTTTTGGCTGGAAAGGCATCACGGGAAATTGCATATGACGTGGCTTGTATAGTTACTTAAAATGTTATGCTCGATTTACTTAATTTTGAAGCAATTAATATAGTAGTTGACATGACTTATGTTTTTTCATTTTATTTATGGATACATTTAAGTTCACCTAGTAACTTATATTTTTGTGTTACACACACTATATATGTTAAGTAGAGATTGAAAAGTTATGAATACTTAATTTTTTGTGTTTAATCTAATTACTTTAATAAGTAATGGTTATTCAGCCAACGAATCGTTTTTTAGAGTGTGTTTGTTCATTCCTTGTCGGATCGTTGTTTTGCTCACAGCCTGTTCTTTGTTCAGTGTGTCACCGGGTGAACAAACCGGGAACCAAAAAATTGTTGACTCGTTTCCAGGGGGAGGAAATGCCGGTGTAACACCGGGCCGGCTCTGGGTTTACCTGTCATGGCCGCCGACCATAACAAGCGCCAGCTGAAGCCAGTGAGTAGCGCTTCATTGAAGCATGTGTCCGGGAAAAAGGAGTATAAAGAGAGGGGCTTGAAGCACAGTAGGGTGAAAAAATGCTCTGGCAGTAGGAAAGCTCCACAGGAGTGCTCGAGTGGATTGTAGCAGTGAGCGGCGGCAAGTGCAGAAAGCAGAGGTTTAAGACCTGATCGGTGTTCTATGTTGAGTCCCCCGAGACATGCTCATTAATGGCTCGTTTCCACTGAGGTGTACGGTACGGTACGGTACAGTACAGTATGGGTCGGGTCGGTACAGCATGATCCGGCTAGCGTTTCCACTGCCAACAGTACCCTTACTTGATAGGCGTGGTGTTTGTCGGAAAGAAGCGATCGATGTCAGAAAGTGACATAGTAAACAACAATGGATGACAGACAGCTGGGTCTTGTTCTTTGTACGTTGCTTAAAACATCCGAGATCAAATGAGACATCTAAGATGATATCATCGTGCTAATCATGATCCGGCTAATTGGGTTCTTCAAACACACCTGTTGTTTATGATTAGTATCGCTGGATTGAGTTATCTGAGATAATTGCGCGTTCATGCGCTGGGTTAAAAGGGGATATGTATCGATAGTAGAAACAATGATCAGCAACGCTGCTATTGGCTGTTCAGCATGGCCAAAGAACGCGCCCAGTTTTTCTCCCAAGGAGAACAAGAGCTTTTAATGGAAGGTTATGCCGAATTTGAATCTTTAATTAAAACGACAGGGAACACCTCGAAGTCTGCAAAATCCAGGAGAGAGGGCTGGCAAAAAGTAGCAGACAAATTAAATGCGTAAGTGCTGTCCATGGTAGATGTTTCTATCACTTTCTACAGTATGTATTTTTGCATTTTAATAATTTCATATTTATTTTGTTCTTTTATGTCAGAGCCTCCGCGGGACCCACTGGAACATGGGGACAAGTAAAAGTGAAGTACAAGAATATTCTACAAAATGGTAGCCATTAATTCTTATACTGTCTTTATTTTAAAAAGCCAATTTTTTCCTCTTTTTAAAAGCCACTGTTAAATAATGTGTTTGTCTGTTTATAACAGCCACCAAGAAAAAGGCTGAAAAAAAAAAAACAGGTGGTGGTCCTGCACCACCACAATATACCCCAGCAGAGGAGCTGGCCCTTGGGTTGAATGAAAACCGACCCATTGTGGAGGGCATCCCTGGGGGCAGCTCTTCCTCAGACCCAAAGCCAGGGACCAGTAGCAGCAACACCTTTATTACTGGTAGGCTAAATGAGTTTTCAATTCTCTTAGTACACTGTAAAATTATTTGTTGCTGCATTAAATGAAGTATAATCCAAATGGCTTGTACAGTAATTTAAACCGTTTGTGAAAGTGAAAACTTCTAAACTTTTAGTTAATATAAAATATATTGCCATGAGTTATTGATCACATTATATTTTTTACAGTGTAGTTAATTGTAATGACAATTTTTTTTGTTCCCCTCTTTTGTGCAGTTTTACATAATACACCAACACTTTTACCTGTTCCCAAGCAAGTAGTGGCTGAAGCATATGCAGTAAGTTGTGTACTTTTTCTAACTTGCATAAAGGGAAGAAAGTGCAACACTTTGTAATACCCATTTATTTCCATTGCACAGGACAGTGAAGAAACCCTCTCAGATGACTGTCCTTTGGAGGAAGAACCTGTAAGTGCATAAATAACTTTACACTAATTTGTATATACTTGTGTACCTATTCTTTCTGTCTGCAATATGAGTTGCAGGAGTCCACACCTACAGAAAGGCCTACAGAAGAGTCTGCACAAAGAACTGATACAGAGGTGGACAGTGTTGTACTTTTACTTTTTACTTTTGTTGCATGTGGCATGTTTTGACCCTTTTTCTTTCACAAAATGACACAGGGTGACATCCGTTCCCTATATAAACGGCATCTTCAACAAAAAAATCGAGTATTTTGACCTGAAAAAACACAAATTAAGAGGAGAAATTGAACTTGACAACTTGAAAAAGAGAAAAATTGCACTAGAGAGAGTTGCTTCAAAAGGACCTTCAGAGTAAGTGCTAATACATCATTTGACACATAGTAGTATTGCTGACTTTACATAACTATCTCTTATTGCAGGCAAAGGATGACTTGCTGGCTTTTCTTTATAAAGAATTGTTTAAATAAAACTCCAGGAACTAAGCATTTTTGTCTTGTCTTTTATTACACATTCAAAAATGGTATTCCACAATTCTGTCCCGTGCAGCTCTGCCACTAGGTTGGTCCAAGTGCACTGGCTGGAGGTCATCATCAGGCTGCACCCCCACCACAGGGGTCCTCTCCTTTCTGATAGTGGCAATGTTATCCAATATGGCACATGCAACAATTATGTCACAGGCCCTGTCAGGTGCAACCCTCAGACCCTTCAGACACTGAAATCTTTCCTTTAGTTGCCCAAAGGTCATTTCAATGCGTGCCCTTGTCCTGGCTAGAGCTGCATTGTAACGGGTTTGTGGTCCAGGGTTTGGGTCAGGGAATGGCGTCATGAAGTACTGCCTGCAGGCATAGCCCCGGTCACCAAGCAGGACCCCGTCAAAATTCCCTGTATAATGGAAAAATGCAGTTTTGTTAGGCTCAGCATAAGTGTGTGTAATACTGTGAGCTTGACATTTATAAGTTCCCTTACCACGTTCAAATAATGTGCATAAATGTGACTCTCTGAAAATTCTTGAGTCATCCACTGATCCTGGCCATTTTGCTTCCACATTTGTTATATGGAACATAGTCACACACCATCTAAGAGATTTTAGTCAGTCATCTGCATACTTTTTGATTACATTGATTTTTTTTATGTAATATATTACTAATCTGGAATATTATAAATTGTAATAGTAACTTGCCTGCACATTTACACTGTGAACCCCCTTTCGGTTCACAAAATCCCCTTCATTGGGCCCTGGTGGGGCCTTGATGGGGACGTGTGTGCAGTCTATGGCACCAATCACGTTAGGGAAGCCTGAAGGACACATACTGTTAGTCATACTTTTTGGCATGGTCATGATTGCATGTCATTAACAATTATAAATGTACCTGCAATAGCAAAAAAATTCTGCTTTACAACCTGGGGTCTTAAGTGGCTTGGAAATACCACAAAACCCCCTAAAAACTGCTTGAGTGCCAAGTAAACTTTGCGAATGGCACGACAGACAGCACTTTTCACTAAGTTCTCTGCATCTCCAATAGTGTAAAGGAACGTGCCACTCGCAAAGAATCTCAGGGCAATGCACACAGTCTGTGCAGTTGTCAAAGCCCGACTCCTCCGTGTTGAACATTTAATGTGTGGTTCCAGCAAATTAATGATGTAAATAACACCCTCACGAGAAAAACGATATCTCTCAAAAATTACACTGTCGCGCTGCGCTAAAGGATCCTGTCTATCCTGCAATACGCGATTAATTCGAAAAGCTCTGCGAATTATCCTCGCACCTTCCGCAACAGGTTGCTGTCGTAAAAATGGACAAGACATGGCTACGACAGACTTCCCGTATCACCTCCGCTTATAAAGCCGCAATCTAATCCTGTTTACATGAAATAAGCCTGCTCGCGAGCAGGTTCAAGCTGGCGCACCTGTTGCTATGACAGCAAGTCTAGGATGAGCTTCGAAGAACCAAACGATCCAAGATCATGCCAAATCGTCAACAATCAAATCCAGCTAACTGAGTTAGCGACGTACGAAGAACGAGCCCCTGATCTTGTTCTTGCTTCTCGGCATGTTTGTCACAAGTAACAAGCGCTGGCATTACGCGTTTCATACCAAGTAGCCACGCAAAGTCCGACTCAGGAGATGACTCCCGAGGACGCAAGTCCAGTAATTCTGCTGATGGAACAGCGCGTTCTTGAAAGCGCCACTCAGCTCGCTCTGCTACTCCCGTTATGTACATTTTAGGCAACAATAAAACGAAATATGTTATAAAACACCACTCTGCTTCTTTTCGATTTAATTTAAATACATTTTAAACATTATAAGGACACAAATGTGGTTCAGGCAACGCATAGCCTATTGATTATATTCACTGCATGTATGTAACGTTATATTTATAACAAAACTAAATATAAAACACAACCCTGCCTCTTTTCGTTTAAATTTAAAAATATTAAACATATTCCAGGCAATGTATTGCATATTGCATCGGTACAAATGTTGCAATAAACAACATTACAGATGATCTTGTAATAAAATAAAAAAATGACAAAACTATCTATTTTTGTTGAATTTCAGTTTTATCAATAATAGCCATTATAAAAGTATAAGTAAAAGGTACAAAAAGATATACAGTAAAGCTTTAATAACATAAAGCAAACAATTCAGTCAAATATACAAATTCAGCGCTCAAATATATGAAACTTCACTTAGCCTTCTGCCAAAACTATTGGCCAGGGAACGAATTATAGATTCACGAGACCAAAGATCGCCTGTTAGGTCTGTACAAGACGAATTATATCTCATGTTTAACCACTACAGAGACGTCAGAGTCAGCGGCAAACATCAGAATTACTAGCCCGGGAAAGGCTGCTCCAGGCGGGGTGCACGAGCGCCGAGCGTCCGGTTGCTTGGAATGGATCTTCAAATTATCATAAATCTATAAATAAACCACAGATTTGAAAAACTACTAAACTACTTTCTCGCCTGAAAAACTCTTAAAACTACATTTCGTGACACAATAACAGTAGTATATATTTCAACTGTATGCTTCTAATGCCCTTGTAGCACGCGCAAGTGACGATACTCTGTCAACCAATCAGCGTTCTGCAGTGAGTCTAGCTCCACCTTTTAGTACCGTACCCCTGTGCTAGGTACCCCAACGGAAGGGTACCCAAAAAGTGGTACGGTACGGTTCGGCTTTTTGGTACCATTCACAACTTTTGACAGTGGAAACGCAAATAATTGCGTACCGAACCGAACTGTACCGTACCGTACCACTCAGTGGAAACGAGCCATTAGTGAGTATTTTTAAAGAAACCACGAACAGCAACACAACGAAGTAAGTGAGAAAACTTCACAGAGGAAGAAGGAGAGTGACTGGCAGAAAAGAGAGTGGAAACCCGCTGCAGGATTCACGTGATTCACCGAGGAAAAGTTAAGTGCACCCCTTTTATGATTCACCTTTTGGAGAAAAACACATTTGAAGATTGCCATCACCAGTGTACGACTAACCTGTGTTTGTGGGCAGTGTGTGTTATCCTGTTGACAGTAACAGTAGCGGCTGGGAAGATCGCTGAATCCATGTTCATCTTCTGAGTCCACTATTCTTTGGTTCATCCATCCTATGAAGAAAAGAGAAACGAGTTGATTAATCGCTGTGAAGATAGAGTGAGTTTGCAGTGTCTGAAAGAGTGAACTAAACACGTGTGGAGATTTACAAGAGTGATTTATGCACGAGTGCGGTGAGGTCAAACAACTGTGTTCTCTTTGGCCTACAAATAAGGTGCATGTACAGGTATATATATGTGTATATGTGTACATATATGTGTGTGCATGTATCTATATATATGGGTGTATATATAGATATATTTATAATTTTTTTTTTTTTTTTTTTTTTGTCTATTCTATATTTCTCTCCTTCGAGTATGATACTAGTTTAAAACCTGTTACTGTCTTCTCTGTTTTATTTTCTACTACTGATAGTCTCTGAGACTTCTTGAAGGTCTCCCGTTTTAAGCTGTTCTTAACCTGTTGTACTGTTCTATGATGTGCTACTACGCATGGTGTTGGTGTCTTTTAATTTTGTAGTTCTGTGAAGCACTTTGGTCAGTCAGAGGCTGCTATAAAATGTGCTATATAAATAAAATGAACTTGAACTTGAACTTCTCTCTGAGTTTCTGACGGGTGAGATTGACCCATAACTTTGAAGATTCTTTTGAATTGATCTGTCCCCTCAGCTGTGTCCAGGTCCCTGAGATTGTGTGCATGGTGCGGAGGAGAAAAGCTCAACGCACCGTTATTGCCACTGTTCACGAGCACTGTATCCCACGCCAAAGAAAGTCCAGCCTCACTAATTCTTCCAACGACGCCGTTCTATTACACATGGAACGAGGGCGAAGGCTGCTAAAGTACCCCGTTTTCTGTCTCAACCTACTACTGTCTGTCTCACTGTCAAATTGTCTGTTCCTTGCATGAAGCAAAGAAGAAGCTACTGGGGAGAGTTGAGTGGTGGCTCTGTGAGCACGTCAACGGATCCGAGCCTGGAAACTGTCTGTCCCACGAGTTTATTCGACGAGTCTGACGACGAGAAAAGCCACTGTCTGTCCCACGAGTTTATTCGACGAGTCTGACGACGAGAGAAGCCACTGTCTGTCCCACGAGCTGATTCAACGAGTCTGACGACGAGAAAAGCCACTGCCTGTCCCACGAGCTGATTCAACGAGTCTGACGACGAGAAAAGCCACTGTCTGTCCCACGAGCTGATTCAACGAGTCTGACGACGAGGGAAGCCACTGTCTGTCCCACGAGCTTATGCAACGAGTCTGACGACGAGAGAAGCCACTGCTTGTCCCGCAAGGTTATTCAACGAGTCTGCTGACGAGAGAAGCCACTGTCTGTCCCACGAGCTTATTCAACGAGTCTGACGACGAGAGAATTCACTGTCTGTCCCACGAGCTGATTCAACGAGTCTGACGACGAGAGAAGCCACTGTCTGTCCCACGAGCTGATTCAACGAGTCTGACGACGAGGGAAGCCACTGCCTGTCCCACGAGCTGATTCAACGAGTCTGACGACGAGGGAAGCCACTGTCTGTCCCACGAGCTGATTCAACGAGTCTGACGACGAGGGAAGCCACTGTCTGTCCCACGAGCTTATGCAACGAGTCTGATGACGAGAAAAGCCACTGCCTGTCCCACGAGCTGATTCAACGAGTCTGACGACGAGAGAAGCCACTGTGTCCCACGAGCTGATTCAACGAGTCTGACGACGAGGGAAGCCACTGCCTGTCCCACGAGCTGATTCAACGAGTCTGACGACGAGGGAAGCCACTGTCTGTCCCACGAGCTTATGCAACGAGTCTGATGACGAGAAAAGCCACTGCCTGTCCCACGAGCTGATTCAACGAGTCTGACGACGAGAGAAGCCACTGTCTGTCCCACGAGCTGATTCAACGAGTCTGACGACGAGAGAAGTCACTGTCTGTCCCACGAGCTGATTCAACGAGTCTGACGACGAGAGAAGTCACTGTCTGTCCCACGAGCTGATTCAACGAGTCTGACGACGAGAGAAGCCACTGTCTGTCCCACGAGCTGATTCAACGAGTCTGACGATGAGAGAAGCCACTGTCTGTCCCACGAGCTGATTCAACGAGTCTGACGACGAGGGAAGCCACTGTCTGTCCCACGAGCTGATTCAACGAGTCTGACGACGAGAAAAGCCACTGCCTGTCCCACGAGCTGATTCAACGAGTCTGACGACGAGAGAAGCCACTGCCTGTCCCACGAACTGATTCAACGAGTCTGACGACGAGGGAAGCCACTGTCTGTCCCACGAGCTTATGCAACGAGTCTGACGACGAGAGAAGCCACTGCTTGTCCCACGAGGTTATTCAACGAGTCTGCTGACGAGAGAAGTCACTGTCTGTCCCACAAGCTTATTCAACGAGTCTGACGACGAGAGAATTCACTGTCTGTCCCACGAGCTGATTCAACGAGTCTGACGACGAGAGAAGCCACTGTCTGTCCCACGAGCTGATTCAACGAGTCTGACGACGAGGGAAGCCACTGTCTGTCCCACGAGCTTATGCAACGAGTCTGACGACGAGAGAAGCCACTGCTTGTCCCGCAAGGTTATTCAACGAGTCTGCTGACGAGAGAAGCCACTGTCTGTCCCACGAGCTTATTCAACGAGTCTGACGACGAGAGAATTCACTGTCTGTCCCACGAGCTGATTCAACGAGTCTGACGACGAGAGAAGCCACTGTCTGTCCCACGAGCTGATTCAACGAGTCTGACGACGAGGGAAGCCACTGCCTGTCCCACGAGCTTATGCAACGAGTCTGACGACGAGAGAAGCCACTGTCTGTCCCACGAGCTGATTCAACGAGTCTGACGACGAGGGAAGCCACTGCCTGTCCCACGAGCTGATTCAACGAGTCTGACGACGAGGGAAGCCACTGTCTGTCCCACGAGCTTATGCAACGAGTCTGATGACGAGAAAAGCCACTGCCTGTCCCACGAGCTGATTCAACGAGTCTGACGACGAGAGAAGCCACTGTCTGTCCCACGAGCTGATTCAACGAGTCTGACGACGAGAGAAGTCACTGTCTGTCCCACGAGCTGATTCAACGAGTCTGACGACGAGAGAAGTCACTGTCTGTCCCACGAGCTGATTCAACGAGTCTGACGACGAGAGAAGCCACTGTCTGTCCCACGAGCTGATTCAACGAGTCTGACGACGAGAGAAGCCACTGTCTGTCCCAAGAGCTGATTCAACGAGTCTGACGACGAGAGAAGCCACTGTCTGTCCCACGAGCTGATTCAACGAGTCTGACGACGAGAGAAGCCACTGTCTGTCCCACGAGCTGATTCAACGAGTCTGACGACGAGGGAAGCCACTGTCTGTCCCACGAGCTGATTCAACGAGTCTGACGACGAGAAAAGCCACTGCCTGTCCCACGAGCTGATTCAACGAGTCTGACGACGAGAGAAGCCACTGCCTGTCCCACGAACTGATTCAACGAGTCTGACGACGAGGGAAGCCACTGTCTGTCCCACGAGCTTATGCAACGAGTCTGACGACGAGAGAAGCCACTGCTTGTCCCACGAGGTTATTCAACGAGTCTGCTGACGAGAGAAGTCACTGTCTGTCCCACAAGCTTATTCAACGAGTCTGACGACGAGAGAATTCACTGTCTGTCCCACGAGCTGATTCAACGAGTCTGACGACGAGAGAAGCCACTGTCTGTCCCACGAGCTGATTCAACGAGTCTGACGACGAGGGAAGCCACTGTCTGTCCCACGAGCTGATTCAACGAGTCTGACGACGAGGGAAGCCACTGTCTGTCCCACGAGCTGATTCAACGAGTCTGACGACGAGAGAAGCCACTGCTTGTCCCACGAGCTTATTCAACGAGTCTGACGATGAGGGAAGCCACTGCCTGTCCCACGAGGTTATTCAACGAGTCTGACGACGAGGGAAGCCACTGTCTGTCCCACGAGCTTATTCAACGAGTCTGACGAGGAGAGAATTCACTGTCTGTCCCACGAGCTGATTCAACGAGTCTGACGACGAGGGAAGCCACTGTCTGTCCCACGAGCTTATGCAACGAGTCTGACGATGAGAGAAGCCACTGCTTGTCCCACGAGCTTATTCAACGAGTCTGACGACGAGGGAAGCCACTGCCTGTCCCACGAGGTTATTCAACGAGTCTGACGACGAGAAAAGCCACTGCCTGTCCCACGAGCTGATTCAACGAGTCTGACGACGAGGGAAGCCACTGCCTGTCCCACGAGCTTATGCAACGAGTCTGACGACGCGAAAAGCCACTGCCTGTCCCACGAGCTGATTCAACGAGTCTGACGACGAGGGAAGCCACTGTCTGTCCCACTAGCTGATTCAACGAGTCTGACGACGAGGGAAGCCACTGCCTGTCCCACGAGCTTATGCAACGAGTCTGACGACGCGAAAAGCCACTGCCTGTCCCACGAGCTGATTCAACGAGTCTGACGACGAGGGAAGCCACTGTCTGTCCCACTAGCTGATTCAACGAGTCTGACGACGAGGGAAGCCACTGCCTGTCCCACGAGCTTATGCAACGAGTCTGACGACGCGAAAAGCCACTGCCTGTCCCACGAGCTGATTCAACGAGTCTGACGACGAGGGAAGCCACTGTCTGTCCCACGAGCTGATTCAACGAGTCTGACGACGAGAAAAGCCACTGCCTGTCCCACGAGCTGATTTAACGAGTCTGACGACGAGGGAAGCCACTGCCTGTCCCACGAGCTGATTCAACGAGTCTGACGACGAGGGAAGCCACTGTCTGTCCCACGAGCTTATGCAACGAGTCTGACGACAAGAGAAGCCACTGCTTGTCCCACGAGGTTATTCAACGAGTCTGCTGACGAGAGAAGTCACTGTCTGTCCCACGAGCTTATTCAACGAGTCTGACGACGAGAGAATTCACTGTCTGTCCCACGAGCTGATTCAACGAGTCTGACGACGAGAGAATTCACTGTCTGTCCCACGAGCTGATTCAACGAGTCTGACGACGAGGGAAGCCACTGCTTGTCCCACGAGCTGATTCAACAAGTCTGACGATGAGGGAAGCCACTGCCTGTCCCACGAGCTGATTCAACGAGTCTGACGACGAGAGAAGCCACTGCCTGTCCCACGAGCTGATTCATCGAGTCTGACGACGAGGGAAGCCACTGTCTGTCCCACGAGCTGATTCAACGAGTCTGACGACGAGAAAAGCCACTGTCTGTCCCACGAGCTGATTCAACGAGTCTGACGACGAGGGAAGCCACTGTCTGTCCCACGAGCTTATGCAACGAGTCTGACGACGAGAGAAGCCACTGCTTGTCCCACAAGGTTATTCAACGAGTCTGCTGACGAGAGAAGTCACTGTCTGTCCCACGAGCTTATTCAACGAGTCTGACGACGAGAGAATTCACTGTCTGTCCCACGAGCTGATTCAACGAGTCTGACGACGAGAGAAGCCACTGTCTGTCCCACGAGCTGATTCAACGAGTCTGACGACGAGGGAAGCCACTGCCTGTTCCACGAGCTTATTCAACGAGTCTGATGACGAGGGAAGCCACTGTCTGTCCCACGAGCTTATGCAACGAGTCTGACGACGAGAAAAGCCACTGTCTGTCCCACTAGCTGATTCAACGAGTCTGACGACGAGGGAAGCCACTGCCTGTCCCACGAGCTGATTCAACGAGTCTGACGACGAGGGAGGGAAGCCACTGTCTGTCCCACGAGCTTATGCAACGAGTCTGACGACGAGAAAAGCCACTGCCTGTCCCACGAGCTGATTCAACGAGTCTGACGACGAGAGAAGTCACTGTCTGTCCCACGAGCTGATTCAACGAGTCTGACGACGAGGGAAGCCACTGTCTGTCCCACGAGCTGATTCAACGAGTCTGACGACGAGAAAAGCCACTGCCTGTCCCACGAGCTGATTCAACGAGTCTGACGACGAGAGAAGTCACTGTCTGTCCCACGAGCT